CGGAAGAGCTTATAGCCATCCATTGCAGCACTCCAGTCATGAGAAGCATCCCACCATGTTTCTGTGATGGCAACTACATCATAGCTGTCCCGCTGCACAATGGCTTCGGCACTGGATTAATGGTTGGACTTGATGATCTTGAACGTCCTTTCCAACCTTAGTGATTCTGTGATTCTGTGTGATTCCCGTTTTCTCCGTTTTCTTGCCTCATATATCAACATTACCTTAGCCTCCTCACTTGCGTTAAAAAGGACTAGTAAGTCCTTTTGGTGTCTTTGTCCTTTGGTTTTCCAAAGGTGGAAAACTGGTTTGTCATGACCTCAGTGTCACATTAATTCCCTTGGTTTCAGAAAAAGGATGCACAAAAGGGAAAAAAACCCACCAGTTTTGGGAGAAGTGACAGCGATGTCCTTTAAACAAGTTGCTCTACTCCTGGAGGAGTGATGACATGCCCTTTTTACCACAAGGACAGATATGTTCCCTTTGTTTTGCTCCTACCTAGGAGAAGGATCTACTTCCAGATGATTTAGTAGAGATTCGATCAAACTAGCATACGCCAGTAAGTCTCTGAAATGATTTACAGATTCTCCTTTTGGAGAAGATAAATGATGGAGTGACCTACATTGAGAAGCTTTGAAACCAATTCCAAATGCACTCAATAAGGACTAAGCAGTCTATATAAACCCCCTTTCTTTGTAAGTACCTCCAGAGGATAAGTATTGCTGCTCTGTCCAGCCAGCAGGAAATTTCTGAAGGAATAATGGAATCATTCACCAATTCATGACCTTACAGGCTAACACAGCACCTACCCAGAAAGTTACAGGGCAAAGCAGATTTATTGAGAGTGTCTGGAACACAGAGAACTGACATCTGAGGAAAAATTATGGAAAACTTTAACAAATCCCTTAGCAGAAAAGCTAGCAGATTATTTTTCAAATCATTGATGTCATTTACATTAGTGATAGAATAATTCAACTTAGTGATAGGGAAACTAGATTAAAATCTAACTACCCTTAAAAAGGTTCATGGCTATTTACTTTGACATTCCAGGCAGTTGTTTTGTCCACTGAGCTAACGCAACGTGCTGATTTACAGTAGCACCATCCTGTACCTCCATTATTTTTCACATTCACGTGAGCACACAATACACTAAGCTAAACCATCAGACTTCAATTAAACCAGGGAAATGGAAGTTAGTTACTGTGTTGTAGGACTACAGAAACAGTTTTAAAGAACCTGCAACAGAATAGTATGGAGGATGTTTTTATACATTTAAAAAAATTAGTAGAAAATGATTACTGTACCTTTTTCCTGATTTATGAGCATTTCAGATAATAAAGACAGAGATAAAGAGAGAAGAAAAGAAAATAGAAAGTTAAGAGATTTGTCTTCAGTAATGCACAGATCAATAGATATAAGAACTTTTGCTTATTCTGGTAACCATTTGAATTCTCTTTCAAAACTAATTAATGGCATTCCATTTGTGACTTTGGCTAATTAAAAATGTATCTATTAGATTCAAGCAGTTACATTTCAAAACTGTGCACCCAATTCTGTATATCCACTTTCAAAAGAGATGCATTTTAGAGCTAATTACAAATTCAAATCTCTCAGGTTGACTTTCAAATAAATAAAACATTGTTATTGTAAGTGTGCTTTGGTTTGGAAAATGTGACTGACTCGCTTCTCTTACTTGTTTGTTTTTGCAAGGCATAATGTACATTAGACATTCCTTAATGCTGCACTGTCTGAAATGTGTAACTGCTTAAAAAGTAAGTATCAATTAAACTCAAAAGTTCTGCCCCATAAACACTTGGCCAAACGTTAAACCATATACTCCTTTCTTTGAAAAAGACAAAGAAATAACTCTGCCTGTTATTCTTTACAAACTTATGTTGAGGACAAAACTGGTCTACGAAGTTGTTTACTTACCTTCTTTCCCCATAATATGGTGATTTAATTTTATCAGAGCCTAAGACACTAGACAGGCTCACATCTTCTCTGCAAGACAAGTCAGAAGACTTGTAGAGTTGAGCCAGAATCTACCAACTGTACATAAGAAAATAATTTATTTCTTACAGTTAATTCTGATGGTGGGTACTTAACAAATTTCATAGAGTTATGAGGCAGATGTATTTTCACCTTTACAAAATTATGTCCAAAACTGAGATGCATTTTCCTTCCACTGAGATTCTGAACTGCTTTTGCATTCATTCAGAAGAGACTTTATTGAAGCCACACAGGATAGGAAGCAAGACAATGACACACATTTAGGAGAGCAGCAATGACTCGGCTTTCACTTATATTATACCTTATTCTGCTACTGTCTTCTCTTACTGCAGCAAGAACAATGGGATAGTTTGCTGAGTAACTTATTCCTGAGTAACCTTTTCTTGAGTAACTTATTCCTCAGCATGAGTAAGACAGCTGAATTTGCCTCTGATCAAGAATTTTTCATTCATGAGCACATACAACTTAAAAAAAAAGTACAGTTGCCTATATCTGAGTTTTCTGAGATGCTCCTTGTGAAAAGGAAAAGTCACCCTCCAATTGCAGAACAGATTGTGTACAAGGACCACTGGAAAATTCAGTGTAACTCCAGTATGAAATCATGCTTACGGTATCCAGGTGCGTTCGCTGATGCTTTGCCCGGTCACTGGAGTTGCTGAAAGCTTTCTGGCAGCCAGGATGCTGACACAGGTATGGCTTCTCCCCAGTATGACTCCGGAGGTGAATCTTAAGGTTCTCAAGCCTAGAAAATGCCTTGTTGCACCCTTCAAACTGAAAAACGTCATAAAAATCATTGTAAAGTACTATTAAATAAACCATGTATATCCACAATGAGAACAGTGTAAGATCCAGGTTGGACATGCAATAAATCAACCAACATTCAAACATCTGTTGAAATTTATGGATGAAACACAACATTTTGCGCTATTCATTTAATCTGTCACTGAAGACATGTTGTGTAGCTCAATAAAAATACAAAGTTTATAAATATCTCACACGTTCTGTTTGAAGTACTGTATGCTTAAAGACATGGTGTCAGAACAGAAAATTTGAAGAAAGAACAAGTGTTCTGATGAGTTCTCTTAGATGTTAATTGGCACAGGAGCACTGTGGACAATAACAATTAGCTGCTACAGAGAGCAAGAGAAGTTATCTGTGGTGGGTAAGAACCTGGTTTCAGATGTCTGAAATACTATACACTGGAGCAGATGAGCAGGACTATTACAAGACCTGATCCATTTGAAGATCAATCCAAAGGAACTCTGCTGTTATTCTGCACCCTTTTCTTTACTAGCTGTATCATCCAGATCTGTTCTCAACATTTATACAACCAGTAACCTGAGCAATTCTGACTTCTTAAGCACCCGTTTCATTAGAGAACTCAGTAATAAAACGCGGCATAGCGTTCGTAACAAAAGTCACTGTTTCATTGAATCTGAATAAATAAATAATTAAAACTTCCAGCTACTTGGCCAAGGCAAGGGTGTTTTGCATTGCTCACTGATAAGTTTCAGTGTTACAGACAACAGGCGACTGCAGTGGAAGCACTGTCTCTAAGATGGGCTTCGGCAACTAACTCAGGTGAGCACAAACACATACATACGCACATTCATGCACCAGCAAACCCATAAAATGCACTCATATGCTTACACATATGCACAAATACTTTTATGCACACATACTCACGTGTGGCGGTGTGCACATACTCTGCCCACTCTGCATTGCAGCTTCATGGCACTGCAGATCTTCTAGTGTCTCTATACAGACAAAACCCTGGCTCCTCTCTGATTCGAGATATCAAAGAATGTATTTGAGAAACACAACCCAATTCACCTTCAAAGCAACACCAACAACAATTTTGAAAGAAGGTTCTGTGTCTTAAAACCACTGTTTCTGGAAGCCAGATTTTTTGGTACGATTCTTGCTCATAAAGAGTGAAATTCTGACCCTCACAAAATTAGTGAGTGCTTTGTCACTTCCTTCTGCTGAGTCAGGAGTTTGTTCAGCAGCTTTCCATTCACTACCTGTGGTTCCTCAGATGGCACCACAGAAATTAGTCTTGCCAATCCCTGTCACATTCTATTTGTTATGCACACACCTTTTATATACATTGATGAGTGCAAACTTCAGTCTCAGCTGTAGCATCCAGCATTGCAGGCAGAAGGATGGGAAGGGAGAGCAGATACAGATGGAGCCTAGAAGATGCTGTAAACTGGAGGCACCTGATCTCCTGGTGCCTGACAAAGGCAGTTTTAACTACTGATGGACAAAGGTCCATCACAATCCTTCTCAGACCAGTGTGCTTTAAGCATCTCAACACAGTGAACAAAGTGATTTGGATTCTCAAGCTAGCACTTCATTTTGCAGGCTGTGTTCTGTCTTTGGATGCGGATCAGCTCTGTATACTCCAAATTAAGCACGCCGATGCACTCCAACACACAGAGGGTTTCCTGGCAAACTGCAAATTTCTGCCTTTCCCTGCTGCTCATACATGAAAGGATCACTATGGCTTTTACTGCCCTAAGTATTTCACTCCCTGGGCAGATAATTAACCTGTTTGAATGGCATATTTGTGCCTATGTCTGCGGATAACTATCTGATATATATTTCCACCTTTCCCCATCACAACTGTCATGATAGATCCACAGAGTCACCTGGAGACATGCAGTCTACAGCTTCAGAAGTTTGGGTTTTGGCCATGACTCGCTTCTGAACACTGGAGCTGGTGCAGGGAGGTAGGGGAGTTTTGGAAGTGACCAAGCCACCAAGGCTTAAAAAGAAACAAACTTTCTTCTTAATCATCACTAAAAATCTGGCAAGGGTTTGGAACGAAGCAATCTGAAATGTGCAAATATGCTGAAGTCCATGAAAAATAAAGCAGAGTTTGGCAAATCCGTAGTTCTTGTAAGACATTCCATAAGGCCAGTCTCTGGCAAATGGAGTTAACGTTCTGAGGTCCTAAAGATCACTTGTTTCCAATTTGTTCCCCAGCTTTGCCTCTCCTCTCCATCCACAGGGATTAGTATTGTGTCCACAGTGTCACATCATCCCCTTGAAACTAATATCCCTTTCATTTTCAGTTCAATAGACCAGCTCTTCTCAGTTTTACTCACCAATATATAACCACCAGGTAGGGTGAGAATCAGACCCAGAGCCTACAAAATTATTTCACAGCTCAGGTCTGCAACCTCATTCACCCAAATCCCAGGTGAGGAGCAAGACCAAGCTTTTCCCTTCAGTTGTTCATCCTGTCCCCTCATATGAGCCATTCCTTCCCTGCTACCTGAGCAGACTCTCCCCTGACTGTCACAAGTCCCTTCTACATACTCCACTCCTTTCTCTAAAGGATTTTCTGGTTCTCACATACAGGCATCAAAAAACCTAGCCCAGAAGGACATTATATAGCAATGTTCCTTGTTACTGGGTTCTTGGGACATTTTATACCCCATTGTCACCAGAATCACTACAGTGACACTACAACCTGTTCCTTCTTGTCTCCATGTTGTCTCAGGCCTGGAAGACCTGCTAGGTCATTGAAGTAATTTCTCAGCTATAATAATTCAGTCACAAATGGAGGCTCTTGAGCTTCAGAGTGTTTTTCTAATGGATTACCAGTCTCCAGCTCCATATCTACAGTCTAATGCAAAGTAGGAAAGTATGCAGAATAATCCAAACTAATTAAAAGTCCAGCTCCATTCTCATTGATGTCAGTAGCAAAAATGCCAATGGCAAATGTCCTAAACCATCTAAACACAAGCTTAATTTAAAACACATGAAAGCACATATGTTTAAGAGTTTGCTGGATGCTGGATTAGGACTTCAGAAAAAGAAGGAACAGGCCCTACCGTAAATGCTCAGAGCTACAATGTAAGCAGCAACACTCAAAACAGGGGTTTATTATACTTCTGATGTGGTCAACAGCCTTTTTTTGGTACTAACACATAATCCAAAAGTCTGATGCCTTCAGCAGTAAGGTTCCTCCATCACCACATGTGCCTGGAGTTCTTATTTATATTATCATTTCCTAATTTATATTCTTTATATTATCCAACTCTATTAAGCTGGATAACAGCGAGACAGTCGCAATGCTGTGATAAATTCATTCTAAACACATAAGGTGGGAGAATAGACCAGCAAAGAGAATGACTCCAGCACTCCTATTTTCAAGGAGGCAAGGTTGCTAAAGGTAGGGCTGGCTAAATAGGAAAAAAAATCAATGGAAAAGGAGAGGAGGCTGAGAACCTTGCAGGCAAGTGATGAGAAGATGGGAAGGGGATGTATAAACATGAAGGTGAAAGGCCTGAGAGGGAGGGAGGAAAGGAGTTGGTGCAAAGACCTGACAAGCATGGGGCTGAGAGAATCCACTGAGAGCTGCAGAAACGTCTCCACTTTGAAGGACTCCAGGAGAACCTATTTCAACTCTGTTATTTCTTGCTGAATCTGATGACTGTGTCCCTTGCAGTTTTTCCCTGCAAGTCCACACGTGGAGACAGCACTGCTGAGACCAGCTTCCCCAAAGTGGAAGTGTCTCACCTGTACAGTTGTACATGGACAAGATAACTTCAACTGGGTTGCTGAGGAAACTGTGTTAGGATGACTTTGTAAGGTAACTCTTGGGCTTCATTACTACTCATCAACACTTTTAACTCTTCCATCTACCCTTGCTACTTTGAATGTATTTATATTTATATATACACCAAATAAAACTACTCCTGGACAAATGGGGTGCTCATTCTCCTTCTCAGATAGCCTCCAGGAAGATCCACCAATCCCAGAAGTGTCTCAGCCTCAACTACAAAGAACAAATGCTCAATATCCAAAGGGGTTTAGGACGGTAAGAGCTATTTGATCAACTCAGAAGGCCACTTAGAGTATCTCCCAGACATCTGGTCCCAATCTGTCACTGCTTAATCCTAGAATCTTAAACATTTTGTTGACGTTTGATGCCTGGGATAACTGTTACAAATGCTGCATGATCCTCAAAGTCTGTAAAAGTCAACAGAGCACTTAAACAAGTTCATCAATAAAAATAATAATTATATTGCAATTACTACTTTTGTCTTTATTGTGAGATTGTTAATATGTGCTTTAGACACTGCTATGCTACAACACATCTGAGCACAGACAGAGAACAATGCCATATGATTACAGTAAATACTATGATGCAATTATTGGATTTTATAACTACTGTTGCTTTTAGAATAGGGCTTCTACCAGGACAAAATATGTTGTAGAAATTTATGGGACTAAATTAGTTCACTACCATATGGAAATACATATGTTATCTTTATTTTACACTAAAATCTCACTGGAGTGTAACTGCTGCAATATCATGCATTTAAAAGGCACATTTATGAAAACACTAAATTATCTCACAATGATCTAAACACATCACAATTTTCCTAACAAAACAATTTAATCTAATAACTGTAATTGCTTAAAATGTTTCTTTCTTTGCTTTCACATTATACTTTGAATGCACCTGAGAATGTTGCCGTGCAGAAATAACTGCATTCTCCCAAGAGGGTTTATATTATCAAATGTTTACCATTTTCATAAGCGTATTTAATCACAGTCATGTCTACAATATCTGTCAGTGGTGCAGATCAGAAGAAATAAAACTATAAACTAAGCAGCTCAGACCATAAGGTGAAGCAATAACTGACATTTTCTTAGGAAATGAGTTATGACTGAAAAAGAGAAGCCTTCACAGTTGTAGTGCTAAATAGGTCCAGTGTGCCATTAGAGAAAGCTCATTAATATACACCTCT